TGGCTCGACTTTAGCTCAATAATAGGACATTTTCTAGCTAGTTAGAGGTTACCTTTTTGGCGCAAATGGGGCTTGCCACGTTGGGTATAGGGCTGCCTCTGTTCCTATGTGTATAGCCATGATGGATATGTGCCATAGGAAAGGGGGTTCCTACATCACTGCCAAGGAAACCTAGCGGCCCTAACTTGTTAGGGAAACCTATGAAATGGCTTCATATAGTGTACCTGCCTTATAGCTCACCTTGGAAGTGACATGGGAGTAATTAACCCGGGCATATGGGGATCACGACTCATGGTGAATGTGCACCACCTCTGCAGAGGGTAACAAACTGTTATAATAAATTGTGCTCACGATTCTGACGAGCGTCCGGAAAACTCACAGAATAACTCGGATACTTGATGATGATCTTATAAAGTTGTTTAGTGATGATATATGGTACATATGACTCAATATATGTTCTTATGGGAATTAAATGGGAGCTTAAGCATAACTTGATAATACTTGAGAATAAAAGCTTGACCTATTAAAAATGCTAACTGCAGCTTTACTGTAGTCTAACCTTTTGAGCTTCATAACCCCATGTTAGCTTGCTAAGTACGGAATGTACTTACACTTGTTTATTTTCTTTACTTGGATAAAAATCCCGGATGGGTAACAGAGATAACAACGGTATGAGGATTTCCTGGAGGATTATTAGGCTTGTGGTCAACCAGTTGACCTTCCCCGTGAAGACGGCCACGAGAGTTTTATCATCTTTTTATTATTCATTTGTGATGTATAAGACTAAGTTTTATTATAACTCGATGTATGAGACACCGTGATGATACTTTATGTAATTTGTCAGCTTGTGTGTGTGATTGTTTCCTGGGCACACACGAGTTTTGTGCATTCAATTTTATCCTTAAAATTGGGTGTGACAAATTGGTATCAGAGCCGTGTTAATCGTCCATGCGTTCTGCCAGAGAGCCCATGCTTTGGATGGCATGGAGGATGCAACCTGTAATGCCTACATCCACTACCATGGTCGTCGTTTGAGGCCATGAGGGAGGATCGTTTCAGGTTCCTTCCTCGAAATGATCATGAGGGTGTTTGGCAGGTTTTGGCTCCACCAGAGAATGACCCAACACTTGGAGGCAACGGTGCAAAGATGTCCACGCTATGCGAGGAGTGGATGATGAGGTCAAAGGAGAATCTGCGTGCATCTCGAGAGCGCGAGAGACGTCTTCGAAACAAGTGGATGAACTTCGTGCACAGCTGGGACAGCCTTCCATCTACAAGAAGAAGCGCCTGCCCTTCACCATGATTGACACCGCTCCATAGGTGTTAGGTGCCTTGATCTAGATTATCATGTCGTTAGTTCGTGTCCCTATTTAGTCTTGTTGGTCTTGTGAACTTGGTTGATTAGATGTTTGATTTGTGAACTTGGTTGAGTTGGTATTTTGCTTGATTGCTGGAAGTTTGTGGGCATGTCCACAACTTCTTTAGATTGGAACTTTAAATTTAGAATGAAATCTTAATGCAGAAGTATCATTTTATCTTATCTCTGCTGTGCTGATTTCTGGAGCAGCCTGTGTTCTTTATCTGGAAACTCGAAATCTGGGATGATAAAAATTCTGAAATTTTTGTGGAGATAACTAGACCTCTGTATCTTTCAAGTGTCTTTGGAATCACGTCAATAGCTGTTCATATTTGGGAGATCTAGCTGTCACAAGTTGATGTTCCTGCGCTGTCTGGAACTCAGAACAGTCTCGGTTTAGCTCTATTTTTGACTATGTGCGAGTTCGAATCTGTAAAAGTGGTCTAAATGAAAGTTGTAACTGATGTCCTAAGCTTTCTAACGAATCTTGGTGCACCTCTGTTGGATCTCTGAAACTCAAGTTATAACAATTTTACTGAACTGCTGAAATTGTATCTTGCTCAGAGAATTTTCAGCATTGTTTCTTATCTTTGGTAAGCTCTCTATAATTGGAAAAATTCCTAAATTTTGCACATTTGTTGGAAAACAGATGGCCGCAAGAGGAGGAAGAGGCAGAGGCCGTGGTCGTGGACGTGATGCCCTCATAAACCCACCACCACCGCCACACTGTGACCATGGAATGAGATATTGGGAATGCAAGCGCAAATGATGCAAAGCTATGATGCAACATGGACAATGAACTCCGCAAGAGGTCCACCACCTGTCGAGTTAGAGATAAGCGTGGAGAGTTTATGAAAGGTCGTCCACCGGTGTTCACACATGCCACAGACCCTATGGAGGCCGATGATTGGTTGCGTGCTGTGGAGAAACAACTGAACATAGCACAATGCAACGACCTGGAGAAGGTGTTGTACGCTTCCGGGCAACTCCAAGGGGCTGCTCAGGATTGGTGGGAATCATTCCAGTTCGGACGTCCCAACAATGCTCCTGATATGACTTGGCAGGAATTTAAGGACAGTTTCCGATCATACCATATTCCTGATGGACTAGTAGAACTGAAGCAGGAAGAATTTAGATCTCTCAAGCAAGGATCAATGACTGTGGCGGAATATCGGGACAAGTTCGCACAACTATCTCGCTACGCTCCTAATGATGTGGCAGATGACAAGGATAAGCAACGCCGTTTCCTCAAGGGACTCTATGATGGACTGCAGCTCCAGCTGATGTCTAATACTTATCCTAACTTCCAGTCTTTGGTGAATCGCGCAATCGTGATTGATGATAAGCGCAAGGAGATGGAAGCTAAGAAGAGAAGGCTCCAAGGGCAAGCTTCGGAAGCAACACTCGCCATGCGTGCTTATCCCTCAAAGAAGGTTTCCAGCAGAGAATCAAGGACCAACTCATCGTGGAAACCGTGGTCAGGATCCTCGGCCGAACCCGGTTCCAAAGAACGCCCCTCGATGCTCGACAATAGCTTGGAAATCAGCGTCCCCGCAACAGATTAGCAATCACCCGCAACACGCCAGGAGTGCCTAACAATGCTCTGTGAAGAGTGGTGCGCCCAACAATCCCAATGCCTGTTACCGATGTGGAGAAGTAGGTCACTATGCTCATCAGTGTCCTAAGAAGCAGAACCAGCAAGCACCTCAGAACCAGGCCAACAATCAGAAGTTCAACGCCCGCCCACCTCTCACAGCGAAGGTGAACTATGTGTCATCTGATGCAGCTCAGGAGACGCCTGAGGTCATGTTGGGTACGTTCAGCGTCAACTCTATTTCTGCTACCGTACTTTTTGATTCTGGTGCTTCGCATTCTTTTATCTCCCAAGCTTTTGTTAGAATGCATAGCATACCTTTGTGTGCCATGAAAAACCCAATACTAGTGAATTCCCCGGGAGGTAGTATGCCCGCTTCTTATTGGAGCCCCTCAACTAGCATTTCCTTAAGGGGGGTAGACTTCAAGGTGAAGCCTATTGTGTTGAGAACAGCGGGAATTGACCTTATCCTGGGAATGGATTGGATGAAACAACATCGGGCAGTGATTCAGTGTCAGGAGAAATCTGTGGTTGTGACATCACTCAATGGGGATAGAATCTGTGTAGAAGTAGTAGTGCAAGCTCAGCCTACAGCCACAGTGAATCAGCTAGATGGTGAAATCAATGAACAAGATCGTGTCGTGGAGGAATTTCCGGATGTCTTCCCCGATGACTTGCCAGGTATGCCACCTGACCGAGACATTGAATTCATTATTGAATTACTACCTGGAACTGCACCAATAGCTAAACGTCCATATAGAATGGGAGTTAATGAGTTAGAAGAGCTTAAGAAACAACTAAAAGAGTTGCAAGAAAAAGGTTTCATACGCCCCAGTTCTTCCCCATGGGGGGCACCTGTGATCTTTGTGGATAAGAAGGATGGTAGTCAACGAATGTGTGTGGATTACCGCTCACTTAATGAGGTTACCATCAAGAATAAATACCCTTTGCCTAGGATTGATGATTTGTTTGATCAGTTGAGAGGAGCTCATGTGTTCTCAAGGATTTGATTTGATGGTACCATCCACTGATTTGTGCTAAGGCCCTGTTAAAAACTGCGGGCATGGATCGTTGTTAAAATAACCAAGTTAATATGGGGTAAGAAAATATCCTTTCAGGTCCAGATATTGTACGCTTCACAGTATGGAAAAATGAGACCTTGTCCTTGGTACCTTGAGGAAATCTTGTTCAAAACAAGCATATAAAGAGTGGCATGCCTTACATTATGTCTAAAAATGTAAATAAAGATTGAAATAAGAATTTTCCACGCTAAAATGATGAAAGCAATGAATGTAAGTATGGCCCCATGTTTGTGTTCAACATAGTATGCTTCTGTTAAAGATAAGAACGGTTTGCTGAGGTTTCCAACATAGCCATAGCTTTGATTTAGTTGAGTTAAGAATCTTTTTTGTTGCTGTTGTTCTTGGTGGCTCCATTCAGAAGCAGAAAAATGATTGATACTAATGATCCTTTTATTAGATTTTTATCTTGCCATCTGTAACTTAGCTCTATGAGACACTCTAAAAATAAATACACAAAGCAAGGATATTCCAATGATGCATGTGTTTGTTACTGGAGTCTTTCTTCAACTATATGTTCTTATGGATGATATCTTGGTAAAGAACTGGAGATTTTCCAGAGATGTGTTCAGACATCAAACCTTGAAGTTCGTTAAAGAGCTTTCCAAGGGTATGGTGCTGTTACTGTTGCGACTCATTAGGATTCAGTAGCTTTATGAACAAAGGTATACTTGGTAGGTTCAGAAAATATTGGTAAACTGAGAACTGTGCTCTAAACATTTACACTACGTATTTCTAATATTTCTCTAAATGTTCAAGTTAAAAAAATCATGCATAGATACTATTGATGCAAGCAGTTGTCTAGCGAAACACATTATATGAGCACAAAAGAACATTTAATTACCAAGGTAAGTGAGATAACTTTTTGCCCGTTCTGTCTAATGTTGATCATGTGGTGTTCCGGCATTGCAACAAGCTCATGCTCCTCAAACATAGAAGGCAAAGGGAAGGTCGGGAAGGGGTCAGGTACCTTGCTGCCGCCGACGCTGCTAGTGCGTCAAGGCAATCTTCTTTGTATCCTTGCTTTGGTTGAGAGCTTGAGAAGATGCTTCTGTGTTGATGCCGGTTGCAACACTAGCGTTCAAATAATATTGGGAAAAAAATCCAATAGAAGATTCCGAATTAAGGATGCGAGCAAGACATGGCCAAGGATAAAGTTGCCACCTTGTTGTAGGCCTGTATGATCGAGGACAGCCTTGGAGGCATTTCATCAAACAGCTGCAGGGCGTCGTCCATGTCGGCGGCTGCTCCCTCTACTGGAGCACTGGCCCGAGCTGCTCCACCGGCTTTGTCGTGCGTCTTGCTTTTTGCAGCTGGAGCTCATGGAGCTCACGACGGTGGTGTCGAACATGCGGTTCCTCAGGCCGCAGCCGTAGCTAGGCAAAAGGCACTGACAGGCAGGACTGGCGGGCGAGGTCGTCGTGTCCGGCGCCGCCCTTTCGCCGGCGCCGCTGCCCCACGGCCGAAACAGCGCTGGTGATCCGCCCCACCCCGCGCCCCACTCGATTTGCCGACGATGAGTGGGTGAATGTGTAGTAGAGGCGGCGATGATGTGGCGGCGGCGCGATCTATGTTACAACATCGGGTCACCGACTCAACAACTCGGCATTAATCCCTCAGCAATTTTGGCTAGCTGTGACCTGAGTATAAAATATGTTTGACTCAGCAGCTCCCATCATATGTTGATTCAAACGTAATTGATAGCGAGGAAGCGGCAGTAGTCTAGTTTGCAAATGAGGAATCAACAAAGTAGATAAGTGAGCATAATGAATTAGAGCAAGCTTTGCAAGTTAAATGGCAATGTGAGAATTGCGGCACCTATAACTCACCCTCGGAGGAAATGACAATTAGGATATTATTATAAAGAACTACTTGGAGAGCTATACAACCTGATTTGCATAATACGTGATCGATTACAATGTGCGCGATCTGAATCCAAATTGGAAGAGATTGAAATGTTCAAGTTCAGAATAGATACTTCGAAGTATACTCTTTTGGTATGTTTTTTTACGGTGAAATCCGTGAAATTATTTAATTTTATAAGAGCATATTTGATGATAAGATGGTGGTATTCCAGCCCACACTAAGTACACTGATATGTGTTGAATGTTTGGGGGTTAGTTTGGCATTAGATTTTGTAAACAAAAAATTATGCAATTTTCAATTGGAATAAAGGAAGTTGTCTCATGAGGATGCTTGAACTTTATCTCTTGTTTTATAAGTTACTAAATGAGGAAGTTCCTCACTTTGGTTATCCATATGGATACAACAACAGTGGATTGTCTAGTACTTATTCCCATTTAATAGATAATGAACCTGAATTTATATATAAAGTTGATAATAGTGTTAATTTAAAATTACATAGGGTTCATAAATCAAAAGGGATATTAGTGTTAATTTAAGATTACATAGAGTTAGTAAATCAAAAGGGATATAGGAATCTGAAATAGAAAATTTTCTTGGAAGGTTGAGCCGGTTTCTGAATGGTTTGAATCATTCTCTAATTCCAAGAGTCCATTATGATTAAAGATAAGAGTTCTTATTAATTAGGGTTGAACAAGGCTGCCAAAGACAAATAACCCTTAGAGATCTAAGTTCTTATTAAATAGGGTAGAATAGAACTGCTAGCAAATAACCCTTAGATACAGACCAAGAAAGATTGTGTATGCGAGCACGGGTAAGAACACAAATGATCCATTTGTACACATCATTTGAAGATCTCGAAAGTACATTAAGGCAAAACAATTCGAGGAGGGAGGCATGCCAACAGGTCAATAGCACAATCGAATCTGTATTGTTGCATGAGAATGACTCCTCTGGGAGAATAGGTGGCGATTGACATCATTCGACGTAAGTGCGAACACATATGGCCTCATTAATTAACTTTAATATGAACATCAGTTAGCTGACAACTCCTATAGCGTACTACGGATAGGAGAATGAAATCAAATAAGTTCAAAATCGAGAACGTTACTCAAATCGGTGATTGTATCTTGCAATCCTAACCAATCTTATACCTATAGCATCAAACGATGCGGGAATCTAGAAACAAGTTGGGAGCGGGTGTTGGAGAACAGATGCGAGGGAGAGGAAGCGAACACAGGGGCACTTTGACGGTCAATTGACCAGATGAGGGGAGCGATCGGCGCTCGGGGCGGGCATGGAGTTGCCGGGGTGAAGGCGCGGCCAGGCACGGCGCTGGCCTTGGCGCCTGTGCGCCGAGGGCGGGCTCACCGCGGCGGCGATTCGCCGTTGAGGGCGATAGCAGCGGCGGGTGGCAAGGCGTGGCTGGGATGTCTGTGCGGGAGCGGGTGTGTGTCAGGCGTGAGGGTTGGGCCGCGGGGGTTGGGGTGGGCTTTTAGGGCAATTTTTTTTGAAAATCAACTTTGCCGAGTGTCCCCAGGGCCGGCACTCGACAAAGTTGATTTTCAAAAATAATTTTTTTTTGCCGAGTGCCTGGACGCTGGCACTCGGCAAAATAAGTTTTAAAAAATTAAAAAAAAATTGCCGAGTGCCCAAGGCTTACACTCGGTAAAATATGTTTTTAAAAAATAAAAAGATTGCCGAGTGCCTGGGGCTGGCACTCGGCAAAATAAGTTTTTAAAAATAAAAAAAAAATTGCTAAGTGCCAGCCGTTAGGCACTCGGCAAAATCTGACGGCAGGTGGCCGCCGTCACGGGCAGGCCACCTTTTGCCGAGTGGGATCTTTGCCGAGTGCCGCGGCACTCGGTAAAGCCCAGTTTTGTCGAGAGCCAGGATTTACCGAGTGCCTGACACTCGACAAAGCCACCTTTGCCGAATGCTTTATTTTGCCGAGTGCGGCACTCGGTAAAATATTGCTTTGCCGAGTGCCCCGATAAAAAGCACTCGGCAAAGTCTCAGACACTCGGCAAAGTCCAGTTTTCCAGTGGTGAAACAAATTAATATGGCCTCAGGATTGTTTGGTCTCCCCATTACAGAGGATACGGTGAGAGCCACCGGAGAGTTCAACTATACATACAAAAGAACTAAAAAAAAGCAAAGAAACAAATATGGCCACACTAGTGTATACCAGCTTAAGGGCATGTTTGGATCCATTAGCTCTAAAATGAGCTACGTAGTAATAGCTAATAGCTGCTAATTTTTGCAGGAGGCTGTTTGGATACACCTGCTAATAGGTGGTTGAATAGCGAGTAGAAGGTGTATATCAACTATTAGCACTTATTAGCAACTCTAAACCTGCTAATGAAATTAATAGTTATCAAACTTTCAGCTAATAATTAGCAGGTCCGTTTGAATCCACGGGTGCTAATTTTAGCTGCTAATTGTTAGTGGTAATGATTCACAATAATGATTCAATTAACACTTTCAAGTCAACCAAGATACGAATAAGATGGCCAAAGTGAGATCGAGAATAGCGTAGCCATGCTAACTTTGAAAGGATATTAATTAGACACTAATCATTATTAAGTTCTAAGGAACACTAGTGCAAAAACCTCATCACCGACGGTTTGAAGCCCCCCCTCAACCACTGGTTTCACCATCGTTGTTGAAAGTGGGCTACTATTGTAAACATTATCGGGGGGCCTTCTTGGTTAAGGCAGGCATGACGTCTACGTCCGGCAAAGGGTCACAGTTAATCAGACTTTCCGAAGGTTGCCGTCGTTAACAGGATAAACAGAGGCAGGCACGTCACTACCGGAGACCGGCCAGTTGCCGAGTGTCAGGTGGTTTGCCGTGTGTTCTTTTTCGGGCACTCGGCAAAGAGACTACACTCGGTAAAGAGCTTCTTTGCCGAGTGTTTTTTTTACACTCGGCAAAGAAAATTTCAAAGCACATTTTGAAGCAGTAAATTAATTCAAATGAAAAAGTTTTCAACTACAAAGTTGTATAACTCATCAAGATGTACAATGTTTGTTTTGGTCTTTTCTTCATACGATAAAGTGAAAATAAATTTGTTCACAAATCTAACATATCTCTCTTGTAGTTTATGAAACTATAAGAGAGATATATAAGATTTGTGAATAATGTTAGAACGACCATGTCGGATGAACAGATGACAAAACAACCAAAATAAACTTTGTAGATCTCGAAAAGTTATGAAACTTTGTAATTGGCAACTTTTTTATTTGAAAACATCTTGTCATGCAAAACTGCGTTTGAATTTCAAAATTTTAAAATTTTAAAATTTGAACTTTTCAAACGACCTCGGATGAAAAAACAACCAAAATAAACTCTGTAGATCTCGAAAAGTTATGAAACATTGTAGTTGACAACTTTTTGATTTGAAAACATCTTGTCATGCAAAACTGTGTTTGAATTTCAAAATTTTAAAATTCAAATTTTGTAAACGACCTCGGATGGAAAAACTTCCTAAACTAAAAGTGTAGATCTCGAAAAGTTATGAAACTTTGTAGTTTACAATTTTTTGATTTGAAAACATCTTGTCATGCAAAACTGTGTTTGATTTTCAAAATTTTAAAATTCAAATTTTGTAAACGACCTCGGATGGAAAAACTTCCTAAACTAAAAGTGTAGATATCGAAAAGTTATGAAACTTTGTAGTTTACAACTTTTTTATTTGAATTCGTTTAGGGCCTCAAACATGCAATTTACACTCGGTTTAATATAATATATTGGGAACTAAAACGGAATCCAGACACAAGTGAGAGTGTGGTGTAGTGGTAGAGGAGGTACGTGCACAGCGAGAGGTCTCGGCGTAGCCATGAAATTCACGCGAAAAATGTCCAAGATGGGTGGGTGTTGGCCGGTGGGGGCCTCCATCGATAAAAAAAAATTCCATTTTTTTTGGATAAAAATTCCCATTTTTTTCGGGTTTTTTTCGGTTTCAACTTTGCCGAGTGTCGGGCACTCGGCAAAGGCTTTGCCGAGTGCCCGATAAAAAACACTCGGCAAAGTTGGCTTTGCCGTCACTTTTTTTGGCGACTGTTGTTCGCCGAGTGTTACACTCGGCGAACCATTTGCCGAGTGTTTTAGGTGGTTTGCCGAGTGTTTCGGACACTCGGCAAATTCAAGCAGTCCGGTAGTGCGTTGTCTACCTCTGGCAAAGGGTCACAATTAATCAGACTTTCCGAAGGTTGCCGTCGTTAACAGGATAAACGGAGGCAGATGTCTTTATGTGCCCACATCTATGAATGGTTTCAAAAAACCCAAAAACCTAAAAAAATTAAGTCATTTACAAGTTCTAACTTTTGAATTTCAAAATCTATGAACTTAGAACACATATTTGGGACTCTAAACAACTTCAAGTAAAACACTTTTCAACTACAAAGTTGTAGATAGTATCGAGAACTACAAATTTTGGTAAAGATCATGTCAAAATTTGATTTTTTTTTGAAAATTTTAAATTTCAAAATTCATGAATTTAAAATAATATTTTCAAACTCTAAATAGTTTCAAATAAAAAATAATTCAACTACAAAGTTGTAGATCGCATCGAGTGCTACAAGTTTGCTATAAAGTTTGTCTTCAGTCAAGTTCATATGAAAAAGTTATGAACGATTTTTGTTGCAATTATTTACAAAGAGACAGGCATCACAAGATGTTTGCCTTCGAAAAACAATTTTTAGAGACGAATAATTAGAATGATTTACCGAGACAGCCGTATGATACTCCAAGACGGTCACCTTAGGACGCTTATCTCTGTAAATGGTTTTTGAAGGCAAGCATTTTCCTAGAGGCCAACCGGCCATTTTATGGAGGTGGTCCATATAAATATGCATGCCTCCGTTAATTTGAGAGGCTGTCTCCTGAAATCATTTTGTCATAATGATAGTGATAACTAGTGTCATCATCTCCTGTTCAAAACTGGTGGTGATAATACTTCATCACCACCTGTTTGGCATATGATCCCGTGGTGATGAGCTATTCATCATCGTCGGCTTGGTGTTTGATTCGGCGGTTTAGCGTTTGATCTGGTAGGGATGAGCGCTTCATCGCCGACGGCCAATACACATTTACAGAGGCAGGCAACCTGTCCGTTACAGTCTCAACGTTACCTGTCCGGAAAGCGATTTTTTTTTTAAGTCATCGAGCCCGGTAGCGAGCCCATCGACGAGCCTGGTATCGAGCCCAACACCAAACCCAATGCCACGGCTGGACTCGCCATAGTCTGCTTCCACCAGACCTAAACTGCCACCAACTCGCGGCGGACGGAGGCTGCTGGTCCCGACATTGGCACGTGAAGCGCATGTAGATGAGGTCAGGTCTCATATGGGCTCCTGCTCACCCAGCCACACATGCATGCACCACCGTACCGTCGTCGTGGCCATCGAGGGATGACCGAGGAATGAAGAGGTCAGGTCGATCATGGCCATCGATTGATCGATCGGGATGATCAGGTGAATCAAGTTAGGTAGATAGACCCCAATAATTAGGATTTCCATCTGCTCTTAGCCTCCTACCTACATACGCTCTCTCGCTTCATATCACCTCCTCCACGGCGTGTATAAGTACATGCAGAACAACCCATGAATTTTCATAGCGATCGAGCCATCTCCGCTACACACACACACACACAAAAAGAGCAAAGAAACAAATTAATATGGCCTCAGGATTGTTTGGTCTCCCCATTACAGAGGATACGGTGAGAGCCACCGGAGAGTATCCGGAACCCATTACCCAAAGAGATGTTGCAGACTATGCCATGAAGATGAAGAACGCCAGTGGTAAGGATCTCGAAGCACAACAATTCGTCGACAACCTCAAGGAAAGGTTTGTATATATATATATATATGGTTGTTTATTATACAGAAATTTGGACTAGATACTAAATGAATTTTGGTTTACAAAAATTTGGAACTGAATGAATCTGAACTACGTACACTTACTGAAACAAATGAATTTTTGGGTCCGATATATATGATCGATCGACCTCTGTAACGTTTGCCTCCTTTATTCGATCGAAACTCGTACTATATATATATTGAGATTTCACTTATACAACAACAAAAGATCAGCAATATATATATATCAAAGTTTTGTTTACTCCCAGATACGGTAATGGAATAAGTACAAAGTGCCTCATCTACAATGCCACCGGTGCCACTCTGGACTTCATCACCTACAAAGATTGGCAGGGCCATATCTTTGAAACACCCCACCCATCACAGATTCAGAATGGGCAGTGGGGGGCATTCCTCCATGTCCACCCAAAAGCAGCTGCCAGAGGTTCAGCTGGTGCCGCTGTGTATCGTACCAAGAGACCCTCCGGCAGCGACTCCTGCGATTGGTTGTTCTGTTGGAGCATCCCCTACATCGGTGACAACAGCGTAAGCGCTTATCTCAAAATATAATTAATAATATTTTATATATCTTACTTGTTTCTCTCTCTTCGTTCATGCTGCTCCAGTTAATTATTATATATATAGTATGAGTTATTAGAATGACTCATCTATTAATAACACATAGGTTTACATGCCACCACAAAAAGTAAAAGGTGAAATTTAGTTGTTGGCAAGTGATGATGCATGCATTCAGTTACAGAGCTGCAAATGACAATTATTTTTTTTAACTAAAACGATATAAGATATTGTTTGATTTCATTCATTAAAGAATCAGATTCTTATATTTAGAAAATATTATTGATTTAAAATCTGAATTAATACAATGTGAATTTTATTTAGGGACAAGGGAATATGTTCATATTCGCATCTCAATTTGATGAATTAAACTCGTACAAATAAATAAACTAATCTTAACTGAATCCAATTGAATTTACTTAGTATGTATATATGTTTTCCTCAACTGAAATCCCATGGCGCGTAGTATATATATCCTAAATAAACTCTACTAGTGCATATTCTTATATATAATTTATGTATGCAGGTGTACACCGAAATCCGTGATGAAGGGCACTTCCCTCAGCACTGGGACTATATCTACCATGAGAGGCTGGAAAAAGCAGATCGCAACTCTTCTGATAACAACTATGGATATCGTTCCAAGACTGAGATCGGTGAAGGCACTACTGTTAACGCGCGTGCAACTTTCGAGCTTCCTAAATGAAATGTCCTCCTTCCTAGCACTAGCAGGCCCTTGTGTGACGAGGACGCTTGCGTGTTTCCCTCTCTTCAATTTGCTGTGTTTGTGGTGTATTTTCAAGCTTCCGTTGGTGTGCGAGCAATCAAATTTCTTTTGCTTTATCTCAGCCATTTTGTCTGGTTGATGGGTGTGTGAATGCTACGTGGGCGACGGAGTCTACCCCATAGCAAAACTTTGTAATAATTGACGGTCACATATATCTTACGATATTGAGACCGGGATATTTTTCATTTGCTCAATAAAATAAACCGGTGTAATTTTGTTTTTTTATGGGTTGTTCTGTAGTATCAAGTTGTCCTTTTGTACCGGCTATTGTTTCCCTCAATAAATCCATTCTTTTGAGTGTGTTTCTTCCATTAAAGATATGTAGACTTAAACTAAATTAAGATACCAACATCATAAGGAAAATCAAAATGACAACCAGCTGTGGAAACAATCCTTGTGTAATGGAGTACCATATAAATGGGTGATGGATTCACCCCACAAGTTTCTACCACGTCCAAGTTCTCCTGTACCGCCTACATCTAAATCTATGTAATCTTAAAGTGATACTATTGGAAATCGGAATTTTACTGACGGTGTTAGGTTTTTTTAAGGTTATTGTGTAAACCGACAAGATAATTATAATTATCTTGATGGTTTTCAAAAAAACACACAGGAAAATTTAGAAACCGATTGAAAAATTCGAATTTACCTATGTGTAAATGTAACTGACAGAATAAATAATTTTCTTGTTGGTTTACTAATGACACACATGAAAATTATGCATTGTTATGTTGGTTTGAGTATTTTCTTATTGGTTGTGAAGATAATACACAGGGAAATTAATCAAAACAAGGTCCCCTACATTCAGTGGAGAGTAGATGTATTATCTCTATGCTCAGGTTTACAGGGCGCTGATGGCTAGTTGCCTAGATATGACAAGATGTCTTGGGATATCTATCGGTGGCTCCCAACCCCTCCTTATATAGTCCATGGGGTGGGGTTACACATAGAATCCTGATCGGTTTTCATAAGAGTTTCCTAGTTCGTTACGAGAGAATCTGCCAAACAAAATTGGTTTCAAGAGCATCTTCATCAGATCCCCTACCCCCTTTCTCTTAAAATCTAGAATAAGGGATTGAGAAAACCTGTAGAGGGGTTATGTGCTCCAACAGATTGAGAGAAGTCCATCCCCTTAAAATGTGGGACCCATGTGTCAGTGATAAAGAAAAATCTCTATTCGTCCTTTTTTTCTCCCTTCCTAGCGCAGCGCTCTCTCTCTCTCTCGTATTCTCTTGATGAAGCCCGACACGAGATGTGGCTGTCCGACGCAGGGGTGTGTCTTGTCCGTAGGTTACTGCCCGGCGCGGTGCCTGCGGCCGTGGCTGCCTGCCCGTCGCGGCAGCTCGTTCGGGCTGCATGGTGTGGTGGTGGTTCGCCGGCCTACATGCGCCCGCGCCCATGGCTACCCGTCCGGCATGACATCTCGCCTGACCTGCATGGCACGGCGGTGGCTTGACGACCAGCACGCACCAGCAGCCATGCAGCCTGTTTGCTTGGTCGTTTTCGGCTTATAAGCCATGATTTATCAGTCAATAAATATTTTTTTTCTCTCACACCAAATCAGCCAACGGGGCTTATAACCCAGACAATATCAAACAAACAGGGCTATGATTGCATGTCCGGCGTCGCGGCGGCTCACCGGCCTGCACGCCCACGTGGCATGGGCTGCCCGTTCGGCGCGGCTCGCCGACGTGCACATGCCTGCGGCTGTGGCTGCCTGTCGGTGGCTAGCCTTTACTGCTGACGCGGGACGCGGGACACCTGTACTACTCGCCTTTACTATTAGTAACTGGCTTGGGAGGAAATGGGATTGAGAAAAATGAGAAAGTTAATTCTGCCTGCAGGCATGTGCTCTCAGACATGGGCATTGTTTAGATTGGGTTAATATTTAGCACTGTAGCACTTTCGTTTGTATTTGATAATTATTGTCTAATCATATCATAACTAGGCTCAAAAGATTCGTCTCGTAATTTATAATCAAACTGTGTAATTAATTATTTTTTTATCTACATTTAATACTCTATGCATGTGTCCAAAGATTTGATGTGATGGAGAGAGTGAAAAAACTTACAATCTAAGCCAGGCCATGCATCCGATCACCTGCCTCGAGATATGTGTTACTTTTCCTCCAATTGCAATACAGATATATAAAACGTGAATATAAGTGGTATACGTATATACTGTGGGTCCACACAAAACGTGAGGGGGCTCTGCGATTTGGCCTGCCGGGCTCCCATTTCCTTTTTTTATTATTTCCTTTTTTTTCCTCTTCTTCAGTCCCCAACAAGGCGACAGGCGACAGGGCCTCCGTCGCCGGTTCTGCCGCCGCCGCCTCCTCCAGCTCGTCGGCACGCCGTAGCAGCCACCTCCAGCTCGCAGCCAAGCCGCATTCATCCCTCTACCTCACTGCGCTGCAGCATCAGCACACGGCGGCGGCTCCGACGGTGACCTAGAGGAGTTGCTCCGCCGCACGGCGCATGGACAGGAAAGCGCCATGGAGCCAAGGCGCCGCACCGCTGACATTCGCTCCGGCCGCACCGGCCCCTGGCCTGAATCTGCTGGTTTTTAATCTCTTGGCCTGAATCCTTTTCCCTACTGCTCTCGCCCAGATCTGCCCTCAGGTACATGTTTGTTCAAAATTTGATTAGTTTACTTTATTGCACAATATCATGTGAAAATATTCTGGATGTATGCTTCCCGAGGCTTAGATTTTTTCCATTTGTGGTTCTTTGGATTAAATTGTTCAAAAATGAGGTTGCAAACAATCTGTTATCTCATTGTCATTGCCTTATTCGCAGAAGAACTGATAGTTCACTGCAATCAATTTGTTGATGATTTCTGCGGATTTGGTTCTTATCAAATTTGGATTGTGTAGTACTTTACTGCATCATTACAGTTCATAAAAAATGTTTTGTTTTTAACAAATATTATAGGTACTACAGTAGAATAAATGTTATGTCCCATTACTTAATTAAATGTCTACAGTGGAAATGTTCATGAGGCCTCTGCTTTCTACTGCTAGAAGTTTTTATTCTTGTCTGCCGTTATATCTGGCTTTTTAACTTGTGATTATAAGAACTAGTGGCCATTTTGCTGCATACATTATCATGTATTTTTTTCTATACAAATTAACCTGTTCTGAGTAAGCATTTACTATAGTTTGACATTTGTAAGAGTTATTATAGAAGCTTTTACTGTTAATCACAGTTTGCAATTTTTAAATGTTATATTAGAAGCTTTCATTTTTAATCACAGTGATCATTTAGTCTAGTTTTCCATTTTTCCAGTTTTATAGAGGCTTTCACTTTTAATTATAGTCAGGTAACCTAATTTTTTGAAAGCACAACAATTCTATTTATCAGTGTTAAACTATAGCCACACAAAAATCATCTATGACAAATTATATTGTTGACAAAACTATTGTTAAACTAAGGTTCTGGTTTAGATCTTGATTCTAGACAAGGTTAGCGTAGACGTCAAAGCGGCGTTAGGTGAGGAGGTAACGTCGTTTTTGAGTGAACGAAGGGTGGGGAAGGGCGACGTTGCGGTCGGCGATGGCGGCGGCGCTGGCGACGAAAGCGAAGCGCGAAGGAGGCTGGGAGGTGGGAGACGGGCTAGGAGGAGGG